TCCATGCATTCTAGACTAGAGAAAATGAGACCAGCAGTATTTGCTTTGTCTGGTCCAGAACGGATTGTGCTGCTGTGAACAGAGCCCAGAAATACCATAGAGATACATTGGGATGCTTTTTTGATCCGAGAACAAACTGTTCTGGTCTGGACATGATCCGGACATGGTGTGGACAAGCCCTTAAATAATACAGCAGCACTTGGTGGGGGGCAGGTCTGTTACACTGAGCAAAAAAAGTGCCTCCTGCAGAGTTTAATTGCAATTTAATAATGCCGAGTTCTGTGCAACGACCTAACACTACCCTTGCCAGGTGAGACCTGCAGTTCTTCACTCAGCAATGCTCTGCTTTGTGTGAGAGTAGCAGACCTCTCTACAGTAGTCTGACACACCCATTGTGGTCTCAGACCTACAACTCTCCAATCAGGACCAATTGCTGCAGAGAACAAGCACTGCTGATTGGAGAGCTGTAAGTCTGATACAACAGGGGAACGTGTCAGCCCACTACAGAGAAGTCCGCTGCTCTCACTTACTTGAATCTTGGTCTGCTTTGTGTATCTCTCCCAGATCTGTGCAATAATCCAGTGTTAAACTTCCTTGGTGCATGAGCTTTCTGTAATAAAGACCAGTCACTGCTGCTCTCATTGAGACTGGTCTTGTATCCACCCTCTCCTGTAGTTTTCTGCAAGCAGATTGTAGTTAATGGATCACCTGGGTCCCTCCCACAGTTCTGCTTCCTACACATACTATGTGCAGCACAGTGAGGATGTCAATGCTACTTTGACAAGGTAATATAAGGGTTTAGAGCCCACAAAGTAGGATTTATATATTATGGCCATTAAGGAATATAAAAAAGCATACATTTGGAGTTCAGAAAAAAAAATAGCATTTACTAATTTGCTGCACCCATATTTCATTTATACAGTAAAAGCTTGGACTATACCTTCAACTTCAGGGCAGGGACTGATGTGAATGTGAAACTATGTAAAAGCGCTGTGTAAATTGTCGGCGCTATATAAATATCTGTAATAAACTGTGCTTTAAAAAAAATTAAGTCTGACTTCTACTCTGGCTACTAAAAACAACCTGTAGCAAAGGTGTTGGATTGCTGTGAAATATTTTTTTCCAATCAAAAGGTGGTGGAAAACTTCCAAACTTGATAAAAGTGACACATGCATAGCCAGCATTAGACACACACTATTGTTTTACGAATGGCTTAGCTATTTCTACACACTGACAAATTAAACGCTCACACCCTGTAATACATAACACCGTGTGCAATTTGAGACTAATTATACAGATGGAATTTCCAAATTTAAATGTAACAAAGTGTGGCTGTTCTAACAGTAGGGGTTGGTGTGCAGGTGTGAGGGGAAAAGAGAATGGAAGTCAATTGCGGTGGCGAGAGCAGGAGAGGAGGTGGATGGCATGAAGGTGAAGTGTGCTCAATATATCCATAGAGCAATCCTCTAACAATCCACCCGGCCAGTGGAGGGTGGGGGTAGTGGTGGGTAAAATGGTAATGTGAGCTGCCAGGCCAAGGATTGTGTCTGCATGAGCCACATTTTTTTATTAGCCAGGGGGGTAAGGAGGCAGTGCGAGCTGATGGAGACAGAAATTAAAAGGCCAAGTCCCATTGCAACAGGAAATCTACTGCTGCAAGGACTGCTCTGAATGGGATTCCCGCTGGTAATGGCTGTTGTGTCTGTTTGGGATAAGCAAAATTGCTGTTTGAAAGTGGCCTTAGTGTATAAAATCAATCATAAGGTGATTCTAAACCTCAGCTTTAAGAATTTTGCTAAAACATGTACAAAGCACATACTGCCTACCATTGGACACCACGCCACACCACCACCATACCTACCACAATGGACAGCAAAACCTGACCTGAAAAAAACCACATATCCCCTTTTAAAGAGATCCCACCACAAAGCTCATAATGCAACTATGTTGTCATGTATAAAAAGCATGTAATTTATTAAACAAACAAAACAATGTACCATATTAAAACCTGTAAAATGTATGTATTCAACATTCATTACACTCAGCTAGCCATTTGTAGTATGGACCCCTCGAATGTCCGAATCAAATAGAGATCCGACTGTATAACATATATAGGTAGAAAAAAGTATCTCCACAGACTCCCATGTATGAAAAAAATCGATCACACAAATCCTCTCTGACAGGATCAAGTCTGTGTGTAATATGAGCCAACAGACTCACGATATCTGGGTTTTCAGAACGCCAGGGTACAACCCGCGTCACATCTCCGCGAGTGTGAACCATTTGTAAGTTGAATAATTACCGGTAAGCCATGGATAAAATACATCAACGGACCCCGACCTTGTCAACGGAGTTACGGATCCCAGCAAAGATAGTCCAAGCGAGTCCCGAGTAGCATGTACGGCCGTACAGATGGCTGAGAGTATAAGTATACTTATATAACACTATCAACGCTGATGGTTCATCCAGTGACTCCAGGGAAATATCAATGTCAAAGTATTGGTAAGCATCCGTGATATAAATCATGATAGAGTCGCTCATGAGTATAGGATAAATTCGGGTATAGGAGATGTCCATGAGCCGTGGTGGCTTCACACCCTTACATAGCATGTCCAGCACCCTACCATTGGACACCCCCTGCAACCCTAACTCTCAACCTCCCCGTCTTCCAGCGCCCCTGACACTGAGCCCAACAATGAGAATCTCAGCACCTCTACCGCTTAATGCCCCTACACCTTTGACTATGAACTTCCCTGCCATCCAGCACCATTGACACTGCATAGCAATACCCCAATCACACTGCAGCATTCTGCCAGCCAACACACCTCCCATACCCCCAGAAACTGCATAGTTCACCATTGCTCCCTCTGTCCCTTCTAACCTTGTTACTGCTTCTCCCTTGCCTTTTCAGGGACATGTAAAGAGGAAAGGCTGAGCTTGGAGTTTCTGGGCTCCTGGTGTGTCTGGGTGAAATGACAGCTATGCACTTGGCAACTATGCCTCTATGGTTAGGCATACAGTCCTTCAGACTCAGCAGGCTCTGTGTACATTGTGTGTGTTCCCAGTGTAAGGGGGTGCACACTACCAGGTTGAGAGAAAGAGAGAAGTCAAACACTGGGATGTTATTATAAACTTTCCCACTGCCTCCATTACTATGGAACCATTCCAATGCAACATCCAGGTTTATTCTTTATTTTTTTACTTTCAAGGTAAAGGTTTTACTTGAAATACAACACCACACTATATCACTCATTTTACCTAAACTATTAAACCTTTTAAATTATTTTGGATTTGCAATCTCTATATCAGGCTGGAATTAAGGGGGAAACTAAAATCCATTTTAATTTCAACAGTCTTCTTTTACAATAAATATAGGATGTGGTTTACCCAGATGCCATTTTCACATGATAAATATTATAAAATCAGATACCTAAAGCCACTCTACAGCCTACAGCAACATAAGTCACTAAAGAAGCGACACATCCATGAAAAACCAAACATTTTTTAAAATTTATTAACTTGTGGGTCATGAGGAATGTGTTGGAATACCATGACATTTTTTCACAATGTTCCATGAGTAAACATTAAAAAGAATGTGTGTAATCAGCATTGTGCTGCTGCTGTCACTGACCTACGTAGCCCGGGTAGCTTAAAGTGCTCTGTATTTCGCTGGACTATTTAAATAAAACCTGACTTGATAGAAGCTGAGTAGCTTCTTGAAGCCAATGCCAGAAATTGCACAGCCCCAGCCCAGGCCTGGATAGAAGAGACACTGAAGAGAAAGTACACTATATTGCCAAAAGTATTGGGACGCCTGCCTTTATAAGCACATGAACTTTAATGGCATCCCAGTCTCAGTCCATAGGATCAATATAGAGTCGGCCCACCCTTTGCAGCTATAACACCTGCAACTTTTCTGGGAAGGCGTCCACAAGGTTTAGGAGTGTGTCTATGGGAATGTTTGACCATTCTTCCAGAAGCGCATTTGTGAGGTCAGGTACTGATGATGGACGAGAAGGCCTGGCTCACAGTCTCTGCTCTAACTCATCCCAAAGGTGTTCTATCGGGTTGAGGTCAGGACTCTGTGCAGGCCAGTCAAGTTCCCCCACCCCAAACCCCCTCATCCATGTCTTTATGGACCTTGCTTTGTGCACTGGTGCGCAGTCATGTTGGAACAGGAAGGGGCCATCCCCAAACTGTTCCCACAAAGTTGGGAGCATGAAATTGTCCAAAATGTCTTGGTATGCTGATGCCTTAAGAGTTCCCTTGGAAGCTTGGATGCAGCTGCTCGGCCATGGAAACCCATTCCATGAAGCTCTCTATGCACTGTTGTTGTGCCAATCTGAAGACCACACGAACTTTGGAGTTCTGTAGCTATTGACTCTGCAGACAGTTGGCGACTTCTGCGCACTGTGCACTTCAGCATGCGCTGATCCTGCTCTGTCATTTTACGTGGCCTACCACTTTGTGGCTGAGTTGCTGTTGTTCCCATTTGCTTCCACTTTGTTAAAACACCACTTATACAACAGTTGACCGTGGAATATTTAGTAGCAAGGACATTTCACGAGTGGACTTATTGCACAAGTGGCAACCTATCACGGTACCACACTTGAATTCACTGAGCTCCTGAGAGCGACCCATTCATTCACAGAATGTTTGTAGAAGCGTCTGCATGCCGAGGTGCTTGATTCTATACACCTGTGGCCATGGGGGTGATTGGAACACCTGAATCCAATGATTTGGAGGGGTATCTCAATACTTTTGGCAATATAGTGTATATTCAGTCATGGGAATAAGGATTGTTGGCTATACACTATAAAAGGCTCTGCTTGACTTATATCAGATTTTATTGCAAGCAAATCTGATTTTTCCAAAACGGATTATTTGGATACATCAAAATAATTACTTGTAGATTAAAATATGATTTTGATTTGCGCATACATTACCATTGCTAAATTTAATATGCATGATCACAAAAACAAGGCAAAGTAGATACGTACTCTGAGAATAGGTGAACTAGCTCCCTGGAGCCTCTTTCAGAGGCCAGTCTTGCAGGTGTTGCACCGTTGTTGTTGGAAATAGTCAAAGCTGTTCTCCCTCCAGGTTGATCCAGAAGAAATTTGGACAAATGGCAAAGGCCCAGCCTTGCAGCAAAGTGCATCAACGTCTCCTGCTTCTGGCCATCTAAAAGAGAACACAAATTAATATCTTATCACATGCTTCTTGTGCAACATTTATGAGGATATTAGCTATAAAAAAGGAAAGGAGACCATCTTCTTGTTCCAGTCATTGTGGATTATCTCAACAAAAGCTAGAATCTGATTGCACTGCTTGCAAAGGTTGGCTCGTCTATGGCCACCCTTAAAAGAGGAACTTTACACATATCCATGAAAAGGACAACAAATACACCTTTAGAAATATTTAGCAATGCCAATCTATAAACAGATACTTTTATATAACTACAGGGTTTTTATTCTTTGCAGACTTTTTTTTTTTTCATTTTCCTCCCCATTCTTCTCACGGAGGCCATTGTTACGAACGGCAGACAAATCCATCACACTTTACTTCCTGAAAAATCTGGCACATGTGACTAGAAAATGTGAACAAGCACATCATCTCAGGAGAGGCAAAATCATTTCCCTGAGATCTCATGAGATTACAGATGATATTTACCAGCAATCCACTGCTGATGTAACCTTCCCAGGATGCAAGCCTTGGGAACATTACATCACTAATGCCGAATAGGACCAGGAAGTACTAAAAGAAAAGTATGTTTAACTAATGAATGTAAGATTTTTCACATCAGCATGCAGCACTGCATGCTGATGTCATTTTTAGTGAAAGGGGTAAAGGTCCGCTTTAAAATTAGTAGAGCTGCAACAACTAATCGATAATGAGAATCTTTGGCAATGATTCTCATCGATTTGTTGACGGTGCTCTGCTCCTCTGTACCTTTTTCATCTGACCACAGAAAATCTGCAGATAATATATAGGTGTATGTCCAGCTTTACACAGATAACTTTTCAAAGCCAGGAACTGAACCTTAAACTGGTGACAGTTGCCAATAGAGAAGGCAGAATAAAGATTATGCATTGTAAATGTAATATGCGTTTGCTAACAAGTATTGTTGGGCTGTATACCAAATGACAGTCACCCCCTAGTACTGCAAACAAAACGCCTGTCTGTACTTTATGCAACCAAAGCGCTACTTAACAATACAGTTGACAGTCCAGAATGATTTACTTTTCTAAATGTGCGACTTAAAAATCTCATGCTTCCAGTTTATTGGAAATATGCTTTCATGGCCAGAGGTGAATTTTAATGAGAATGGGTTAAACTATTCAGAAGACCTTTCATAAAATAGGAAATAGAGGAGATAACTGTATAACCTGGTGCTTTGTGACAACAAAGAAAGAAATATGTTTTACAACGTTCCTTCCTTTTGGATCACCTGTGTATTTTGACAGGAAGCCAGTTCTATAGCTGTTCTCCACTTAACAGCTGGCTGGATAGAATGAGTCATAAGGCCACATTCCACATCCACAGCATTACAAAGAACTACAGAGTGAGAGTGTACATTACAAAAGGACCAGAGACGCTAAAACACAAGCTGGCTTACATCAAAAAATTCAAAACCACCAGTCTCTAACAAAGTGTCTTGTGCCTCCCCCCTTCTACCCCATTCCTACTGAAGCATGCCATGTTCCCATCTGCAATCTGATTCACTCCTGATCTAACTCCTCCCCTCCTCTTCCCCTTTCTGTAGGGGTCCTCCAAAGCTGTGTCCTTGGACCCCTTCTCTTCTCCATCTACACTTCCTCCCTTGATCAGTCAATAACCTCACATGGTTTTCCAAAACCATCTCTATGCCGATGACACTCAAATATATCTTTCTACTCCACAACTCACCCCCTCAGTGTCCTTGTGTGTCACTAATCTACTAACCGACATATCAGTCTGGATGTCACAACACTTCTTAAAACGCAACCTTTCACAAACTGAGCTCAAGATATTTCCTCCCGCCCGTGCACCTTCCCCAAACTTTTTCATGCCAAGGTCCTAGGTGTCATCCTTGACTCGAACCTCACCTTTCTTCCTCACATCCAATCACTATCCAAATCCTGCCGCCTTCACCTTCGTAACATCTGCAAAATATGCCCCTTCCTCATCAATGAAACCGCAAAATTACTCAGCTACTCACTTGTTATCTCTCGTCTTGACTATTGCAACTCCCTCCTCATTGGCCGACCTCTACACAGGCCATACCCCCTTCAGTCATGAATGCTGCTGCTGGACTCATTCACCTAACCAACCACTCAGTGTCTGCAGCCCCCCTCTGCCGACCCCTGCACTGGCTTTAAATAGCCCAAAGGTTAAAATTTAAAATATTAATAACGACTTACAAAGCCATCCACAACTCTGGCCTCGGCTATATCTCAAACCTTGTCTCAAAGTATCACCCTAACCGTCCCCTCCGCTCTTCCAAAGACCTCCTGTTTTCCAGCTCCCTCATCAACTCCTCCCATGCTCGCCTCCAGCACTTCACTAGAGGCTCTACCATCCTCTGGAACTCTCTACCCCAACATGTCCAACTATATCCCACTCTGACTGCCTTTAGGCGATCCCTTAAGACTCATCTCTTCAGGGAAGCCTATCCCACCTCAACCATCATGTTCTTAAACAATTCATCCCCACAAAGCTACCTCCTCACGTATCACTTGCCCCTCCCTTTTTATTTGTAAGCCCTCACAGGCAGGGCCCTCCTTGCCATCTTGTCTTGATTTGTAAAACGATTGTAATGTCTTCCTTATATTGTAAAGCGATGCGCAAACTGTTGGCGCTATATAAATCCTGTATCATAATAATAATAATAATAAGTATAGGCATCTATTAGGCATAGAAGAACATATACCCAACGCAGCCATTTATAGACCATTTCGGAAATAATTGAATGCATGTAGGTCAGGACCCCCAAGCAAAAACACACAAAAGAGTGGGATTTCCCCTTCACATTAGAATACCCTTAAAGTAACATTAAAGCATACAATTTTTTCCCTCCCCAAAAGTTAATGTCAGCACTTACCTTAAATGATGTCTCTTAATCCGATCCTCTTCTTCTTTCCAGTCGTTTTCAGATGTCCCTCCAGCGCCGCTGCGAGTCTCCGATCCAGTGCTGACTCCGCTGTCCTTGCTGGCACTTCCTGTCCCACGGTGTCTGCATGTGGGTGCACCCCATCCATACACTTACCTGCTGTCTCTCCTCGTTTCCCGGACGAAAATCTGAACTGCGCATGCTTGCTAGCAGTAGATATATGAAAAAAAACCTGAGGGTTTAATAACCCTTTAACAACATAGTCCCCCTCTATCACATCAGGAGCCTCCTTCACATCAGAGGCATGGCTGTGTGAAAATGTCGGGCCACCGCCTGAGGAAGCCGGAAGACACCTTGGTTGAGAAAGGCTGCCCTACACAATGTAAATGTGCAGAATGATCTTTCCCAAGATCTGAAGTTTGTAAGCAGCTTTACAGATAGACACACAATCAGAAAAACTACAGGGAGGATAACAAAAATTGCAGGGCAAATAAAATGTTTTCTAGAAGTCCTTTGTGTCAGAAGTGCTGAGAACGCGAATGATAAAAATGTTACCTTTAAACCTGGGAAGGCTGTTAACATGTAAAAAACCTAATCTTTTTAAACCAGGCATTCAGAAGAACTTGTTGCCTGTGCTAACCTGGCATTAAAAGTACCGGGGGTCGTTGTGAGTGTTGTCGTGTCTGCACATGCCTTCACCACCAATTATGCTATGTTGATGTGGAGGAGTAGCAACGCAAGTCCTAATTATTTTATTTTCGATTATACTAAATGTATACGACTGTTCGAGGCATGGAAACCCCATAAACAGTGTTTTTCTTTTTTGAGAAAGCTACAGTTTTTCTATAACACTGCAGCAATAAAAAAAGAAAGAGGTATTAAAAGCTTTAAGCAGTAAGGTGCTACTATGCACAGCATTATAACACATTTGCTGACTTAACTGCCAAAGCGAGCCCTCCAATGATTCACTCCTCCCTTGCTGATGCTTCCATTCACTCCTCCCTTGCTGAGGTTTTCTTCTGTTTTATGACTCTTCCGTAACTTGATTAGCCTGGACCCACTGTCGTAAAAGGAGTTACTTCATCTCCGCATGACAGGTATATCCCTGGAGCTACATATGCATGGCCCAGCGTACGGGGGGAAAAAATTCTAACAGACATAAGTTGGGTATCCACGTGTATTTTTTTTACATTTATTTTTTACCCCATGGGCTGAATATAAAAAAAAAAAAGGAGAGCAGATTCCTCCATCAGCGCATATGAGCATTGATGGACGAATTCTCCGCTATTTGTATTCTGGCCACTGTCACAATATCTGACTAGAGCTAGCAGCTGATTGGCTGTCACATCTGTTGGCCAAGAATTTTTCAACCTCCTCCTTTGATCAGCTGATCGAGGGATGCCGGGCGGAAGGGTTCCAACAGTGGCACCCACTGTGCAAAATATGTACTGTGTGTAAACACAGTATTTTTTTTGCCACAGAAAGCCTGCCAGTCGGCTATTTTATTTTTCCCTTTACTTCCACTTTAAAGCCCATTTCCACCTTTGCAGAGGTATTTTTTCAAAACATATGCCAGCATTGTACATCGCGTGTACATGAAGCAGGTATATGCAGCTGATACATATGAACGCAGAAATAGTGCTTGCAGCATTTTTGCAGATAGCACTGGACCAGAATGCAGGCACCAATGTGCCACACGTTCAGGTGATTGCACTGCAGGGGGGCGTGGCTGCGGTGCCATTGACTTCAATGCACCACCACGCCCCCTCCCACCCCTGAACGCAGGCTTTCGGTCCAGAAAACGACCGGTCTGGACGGCAAGACTTTGAGGTGTGACCAGCCCTCAGGCCTAATAAAACCTTCATTAAAAAAATGACGAAAACCTCCAATTTGAGCCATGAAAATGTGCGCACATATACATAATCACTGCGCCTCTTCATTACCACAATAAATGCTAATTACTTACAAAAGGTGGAAAAAGTCCAAAGTGCAGGCACCACGATGTGTCCAAACATTTTTATTTCATTTATTTTATGTGTGGCACTTTAAGTTACCAGTTTTCTTGTAAACGCCACCTAGTGAAGTTCCTTAA